ATGGATAGGAGACACTGTATGGTCGTGTCAGACCGTTGGTGAAGACACTGAATGGTTGTGTCATAACGGTGTAGAGGACACTGGATGGCGGTGTCAGACCGATGTAGAAGACAGTTTATGGGGTCATGTCGGACCGTTGTAGAAGACAGTTTACGGGGTCATGTCGGACCGATGTAGCAGGACAGTTTACGGGGTCATGTCGGACCGTTGTAGCAGAGGTTGTGGTGGTGCACAGTGCGCCATGAGCGACTTATACATGATACTGTGTATAACCCCCCTTCAAACTCAAAGAGGTGTGAAAATAAAAACCTATTTGAGGTTGAAAAGGGAGTGATAAAGCTGACCGGTGTACAAAAGATATACATGGATGTAGATATCGAGCCCTCAAAAGTCGTGCCCTCAAAAGGTGTGCCCAATCTGTCAAAAGGCGTGCCATCAAAAGGCGTGCCCGATACATCAAAAGGCGTGCCAAATATGATGGCGAGGCACGTGAGTGCCTTGGCTGGCGTGCCCGTTTGTCTGGTGTCAAGAGGCACGCGATGCGCGTGGCTGCCTCGGCATCAAGGTCTTTATAAATCGAAGCGGAGGCTGAGGCTGAGGCAGAAAACCCGCTAAAAAACTCTGAAAAACTTCTTCGTTGTGCTGAGAGAGAGTGTCTGTAACACTCTGTTTCGTTGTGCGGAGAGAGAGTGTCTGTAACACTCTGTTGCGAGAGATATTCTGTAACACTTGGTTGCCCAGAAAATGGCCTCGTCTTCCCGTGGTTTGCTGACTCTCTTTCCCGACCTCAACGAGAAAAAACAAAAACTCTTCTTCGTTTTGCTGAGAGAGATAGTCCGTAACACTCTGTTGTCTGAGAGAGATTTTTGAGAGAGATACTCTGTAATACTCTGTGGCCCAGAAAATGGCGTCATCTTCCCGGAGTCTGCTCACTCTCTTTCCCGACCTCAACGAGTCAACAAGAGAGACAACTGGTGCGGTGGTACTGGAACCTCAACCAAGCGCCCCGGAGTTTACTCCGTTGAACTTTCCGATGCGGTCTGTGGAGCAAAGAATGGCAGTGCAGTCGGATGTGGAGGCCAATCAGTATACTTTGAAGGCATATACTACCAATCAAACATGCCCTAAGTGTCATTCAAGTCAGAGTAGGACAAATGAGGTGCAGCATTTAAACTCCCAGCTGGCTCTGCTCCAACGCATGTATAAGGATGCGCGAGCAGAGATAAGTGTGCTAAAGGCGGAAAATAAGGAGCTGAAGCGGAAGGCCACCGTGATGTTCCGATTTGGAGGTCCACCGTATGCTGTAGTGGAGGAGCAGGGAGGAGGCAACTTGCTTGGTGATCTAGGAAGCACGGAGGCAACACCGGCAAGGGCCGCTCAGGACGGAGGCAAGAAGAAAAGACCGGCGGCAGAGTAGAGAAGAAAAATTCCACCTGTGAATGTGGGTGTTGGTGTGTATGTTGTTTTTTTTTTTTTTTTTTTTTTGTTTTTTTTTGTGGAAACATGGTGATCGGGGTGAGCCCCGACATGAATAAAATGAGTTTAGTGTGCAGATCTTCCTGCGTTTTTTTTTTTTTTTTTTTTTTTTTTTTTTTTTTTTTTTTTGTGATAAAAAAAATATATATATATATATATTCTATATACTCTAGTGGGATGAATGATGGGTTCTGGTAACATCACATTGTGGGGTGTGGAGTCTGACAAAATAAAGAGTGGGAATCATGAGATGGGTTCTACTTTTGTCTGTGTAGAGAGAGGGTTGGTTTTAAAAGAAGGGAAATAATAATAATAATAATAATAATAATAAAAATATATGAATTGGAAAGCCTGGTGGGAGAGAGATGATTAGCCTGGTGGGAGAGAGAGGATTGGTCCCCCCTGTTTTGTTTTCTCTTTGCTTCTTTATTCTCCTCAAGAGAGAGAGAGATGGTGAGGTCCCCCTCTCGCCCGTCTGTACTGTCTTCTCCGATCTGCTTCAGAGCTTTGATTGCCGAAGAGGTCTTCTCGATTCCCTCAGTTGAATCGCTAACAACGAGAGGAATCTCTGGCACCGACTCGATTAGGGATGATGTTGGTTTGGACCCACTTGTCGGTGAATGATTGGCTGGAGGAGGCAGAGGAGAGGAGCTCGTTGGGGAGAGCGACGGTGACGGAAATGCCTGAACCGGAGAGGGCTGTGAGGACCGCCGGGTCGGAGTCGTAGAGCTTGACCTGGTTCAGGCCTTGCGACTTGAGGAGTTGAACTACTGGGGATGGTGGTGGAAGATTGTCTGCGATGCGGCCGTAGTTTACTCCGATGGAACCCGTATCGGAAAATGAAGAAGCAATGGGGAAGAAATAACAGAGAGAGAAAAGGAGAGGAAGTGAGAGAGAGGGAGAGAGGTTAAGCTTTGCCATTCTCTGAAACTCACAGAAAGAGATAGGTTTGATCGCCGGTTCGATCAGGTCTGGTTTGAACAAACCAGATGATGATGGGTACGAAGTTTGGAGAGCAGAGAGGGCTATGGGAGATGAGATTTTAATCGATTTTTCGAGGTTGAATTTCATGGCCGCCATTCATGTACTGACCTCGCGTAGCGATGGAGAGAGAGTTGAAGATGCAGCGGAGTGAAGGTATGTGTAGAAAACTTTAGTGGAATTGGTTGAGGTCCGGCGGACGGCTAAGGTGAGGTTGCTGCCCGCCGGTGAAGCGAAAATATTGGATTCTAAACCTGCTCTGATACCATGTTAAAATAATGATGTATTATTGATTTATGTATTACAAGATTGTTGTGTATATATTTTGTACAAGAATTCCTATTATATAGGAGATGATTCTGGAGTAGGTGAGGAGTGAGTGGTGCTTTAAACTCAATGTAGATATATATAAAATACTTAAAATATTATTTTCCATCAATTTAGCTAATGAAAATAGGTCAATAGCTTAGATTAAAAATAAATAAAAAATAATAATTTAAATTAATAGAATTAAAAATTCATGATTTATTTTATTATAAATATCAAATTTTGAGATTTTTTCTAAATATAATTTTCCCTTATTATTTTTGTTATTTTTTCTTAAAGCAATGGTGTGCTCAAACCAAAAACTAACCAGCAGCGCACACACCAACTAAAAAAAAAAAGGAAAAACAAAGGAAAGATTATAGGTTGTTTAGGAAAGTTGATTTTTAATTTTTTTTTTTTTCAAAAAAAAAAAAAAAAAAAAAAAAAAGTCTTGGAATTGAATGCAACAACTATTTTAGAGGTTTTGGTAGGCTGGACTCATGCAGTTCTTTAACTTGACAATAATGAAATAGGCAATTGTATTACTTCACAAAATTTTTTAGGAGTATGACTCATTTGTTAATGCTTTCGTTTCATATCATGTTTACTGTTTTTGTTTGTGTTTTCTGAAAACTGAAAACAAAAACTTGTTTGGTATATTATTTTCGTTTTAAAAAAGATGAAAATAATTTTTTTTTTAAAAAGAAAATATTTTTGCTTTTTTTAAAAAAAATATCATTTTTTTTCCTTTCTCCTCCACTACTTTTAGCCACCACTCATTGCTGGCAAGCTACAACGACCATATGATTGCCACCCTCAGGGCCGGCCCTGTCCTAAGGCAGGTAAGGCTTGTGCCTTAGGCCTCATATTTTGGCCCAAAAATAGGGCCCCAAATTTAAAAAATTGTTATAGGTTCAACATTTTTTTTTTTTTGGTTTTAAGATCAATTTAAAGGGCCCCAAATGTTTTATTGGACCCATGTATAATTTAGCCCATATTTATTTATAAATGTGTTTGGCCCATATTTATTAAAATGAAAATATATAAATAAATAAATAAAAAACAATATGGCCCCTAAATTTGGTAAAACATATAAACATATATAACATAGGGCCTCTAAATTTGGCCCCTAAATTTGGTAAAATATTATAGGCTCAATGTTTTTTTTTTTTGGTTTTAGGATCAATTTAAAGGGCCCCAAAATATTTTTTTGGGTCCATGTATGATTTACTCCATATTTATTTATAGGTGTAGTTTGGTCCATATTTATTAAAATGAAAATATATATTAAAAAAAAATTGTTTGGGCTCAAGAAAAATAATACATATAATATATGGGCCCTATTTTTTTTATTTTTTTTTTTTACGTTCTTTATCTATTAGATTTTAGTGGAATAAATAATTTTGCTCAAATTTTTTTACCTAGGTCTTTATCAATTTTAATTGAATAATTTTTTCCTAATTTTTTTGTTCTAATTTTGTTATATTAAATTATTTTATTTATAATTTTAATGATTATATGTGTAAGTAAATTTTTTTATGGTTACAAACAAATAAAAAAATTGTAACTTATCGTTTTATTCATGAATTTTTTTTAATATAAAACGGCCCCCATTTCTGAAATTCGCCTTAGGCCCCGACGAACTCAGGGTCGGCCCTGGCCACCCTGACCTTTGATAATCTTTCAGTGACACTCCAACCAACCTGTGACCTCTAATGACACTTCTAGTGGCCACCTGCGGTCACCACATTCATTCACCTTCTTTTATCGGCCACCATCTCTGATAACTCACCAAACATGTTTTTTTATTTTTGTTTTCATTTGCTTTAAGAGCATTTGTACATACAAGAAACTTACAACATTAACAAATGATTCCAAATGTGTCTTTTTTTCAATCTTCAATCTTCAATTTATTTATTTATTTATTTATTTTTGAAAACAAAAAGCAGAAAATATGAAATGAAAACGATACCAAACAAAGATGAAAGAAATTGGATTCAAGGTACAGCCAATCAGACATTTTCATGTATTTTGCATTGCCATACCAACCATATATAGAACATATAGAAAACTAAAGTTCAAGACATCCAAACAGCCATTTCACCAAATTCAGCACTATGATATCAACTTTTGCCCCTAAAATAATCCAGCCAGCTCCCCAAAGAGAGAGAGAGAGAGAAAGAAGCGACCAACTATCCACCAATACAAAATCCACAAATGTACACAGCTGCAACTACGAGAGAGAGACAGAGAAAAAAGGGGCCAACTATCCACCAATATAAAACCCACAAATGTACACAACTTACAATACTGTAGACTAACATCACATATAGATGACCATTAGAAAATTAATCCTTGGAGGATTTGTTGACGAGTGACTTGTGGATGTGAGGAATAACACCACCACCGGCTATGGTTCCCTTGATCAACGTGCCGAGTTCTTTATTGCCTTGTATAGTTAGTTGCAAATGGCTTGGCGTGATACGTTTCGCCTTCAAATCCTTGCTTGCATTACCTGCCAACTCCAACACTTCAGAAGTCAGGTATTCTAAAATCGCAGTGGAGTAGACAGCAGCTGTTGCACCAACTCTTTTGGTTTCAAGAGGGGGTGAATTCGGTTACAAAAATTAAAAGTATAATGAGCATTTATCAAATTATCAATATAGCCAAGTATAAAAATATGAAGGACATAAATTTGCCAAGAACAGTTCACAATTGAAGTCACTCTTACAATAGCAATTGAAGTGGCAATTACAATATAAGATAGGGAGATACGTTGGGCTTGAGATTAAGTCGAGTCATATGAGGACAAGTTTTGAGTGTCATGAATGGGGCCTTATCAATTGTGTTTGTTTCTGACATGAGTTTCCCAAAGAATTAAGACAAGCGAATGTGATTTTGTATATATAAAGAACTCGAGAAGTTGTGGTAGATTGACATTAAAAATTACATTACCAATGCTGACCTATTAACAGTTACCAAAATTATTACCTTTTTTTAAAAAAAACCTTGTTTAAAAAAATTTATCAGCATCAACTTATAATGTATGTTCATATGAAAAAACATTTGAAGAGAATAATAATTTAAGAAGCATGTTATTGTCCTCAAAATTTTCAAGGGAGTTGTTTCGTTTCCCTGTGCAATTAGTTTCTCATTCATAATCAGGAAGCATCTTCATCCTTCTATTCAATGACCTACATTACTAGAATTCCCATAGCAATGCGGGATTTCTTTACACCATTGTCATTGATGTAATTTTTTAGAAATCTAAATAAATAACTATAATATCAGGAGGAGGACATAAAGGCCAATTATAAACATATCCCTTCACAAGGTAAATCAAATGCTAATAATAAAATACATTCTCATATTGTTGCTGCAGTAGGTCAAGTGCAAATGCCACCAATACGGCTAGTCATGTGTGAGGAGACAAGATGCAATGAACGCAACAACAACAATAAATCTGAAATTGAAGCATAAGATTAAACAATGTGAGATCAGTCATTGAGTCTATATGTTCATCAGAACCCTTTTCAAGTAAAATATATAGCAGGACATGAGATGTTGGCAATGGCTAAAGGGTTAAATTCAAAGCCACTAAAACCAATGATAAAAAAATAGGACCCAATGGTTAGCATGGCCTCTATGAGATTTATGGGGCTTGATTTTCTAGAACATGCCCATAACTTAAGATATATGTTACAATACAGAGCCCACCCCTTTATGGTTTTCCTATATACCCGCGCAATAGAATACATTTTCAAAAAATATAATTAAAAATATTAACACTAATAATTCAGTGCTAAAATTTTCAGTTTAATCAAAACATCCCTATTGTTCTTGATTTTCTTGGGTCACAAAGCACCAAAAAAAAAAACAAAAAAAAACGAAGATATTTTTTAACGTGAGTTTCTTTGATTTCTTACTTTCTCCACTCAAACCAAAACAGATAAATTAGTCTACACAATTGGTTACAAACTAAAACAAAAAATCAGAAAATTGAAGCAAGAACCCACAAAACCCATCCAACTATTAAAACCCATCATCAGTATACACACACCTGACATGGATAGGCCCATAAGGCTTACAGCCCACAGCAAACAACCCCCAACCCATCGCTTAGAACCCATAGCATAACCCAGTTGGCAAAGCCCGAGACAGCTGGAGGCCATCTGGGCATGGAGGGCCAATGACATTCGAGCACATGGCAAGTGAAACACAGGCCACATCAGCAGACAAAGATCTGCAGAGTTATTGCCACAACACATCACCATTAATGCAGCCCATCACAGCATTTATTACGACAACACCTCCCCGTTGGAACAGAGCCTCCTCACCCTGAACAAGGTAAGCTACGGCACAGGCTTTCGGCGGAAGGGGGCACGTCGCAAGGGACAGTGAAATGATTACCAAAGGATATAAGCAAGAATCGAACACAAGAGGAAGGTTAAGCTTTTCTATCTCTCTCTCTCTATATTTCCTTCTTCCTCTACTGATTTGCTCGCCGGAGGGTTCACTGGGGGACTACCCCGTTCCCCTTTGGACTTGCTTGCAGGTCATCTGGTGGAATCATCCGCCTGGATCGGAACTTGAAGAGCTTGAACCAGCTCGACCCATCCACCGAGGACGAACTGCATCATCAGTTGGCGCCGTCTGTGGGAACTTGTGGTTTATCCGTGCGCTAGTTGTGTTTACTATCGCCGGAGCCCCCCATTCTCCCCATCACCTTTTCCTCTCACCCGTCCAGGTGTATGGTCACGACTAGGTCCGTGGCTTCTCACCATAATACCGCC